GTAACTGCAATTGATTTTCTTTATGAACACATAGCCATGGTTAGCGATGCTCAGCCGTACACCATTGACAAACAACGAAAAAATGAACTCGCTGATGCATAAATTTAAATCAATTGTTCAGAACAGATCCGAATGTGAACTTAAGAGGGCATTATCAGTATGGATAATGACGCGTTTTGTAAGATGTATCACATGTGTTACGAAAATTTGTGTATAAAAATTACTAGCATGTTCACCATTTATTAGTAGCTCAAAACCGTTGACTTCACTTATTTTATGATGAACGGACTTTTTGTCAGGGTAGAGATTTTTGGGTTTATATAAATGCAAAATGGGCTTCGGAATAAACCTCAAGAGATACTTGGTTTTAAAAAAAATATGAATCGTTTGAACACTTTAGAAACTTAAATTTTTCCAGAGTTTACATTGTCTTTGATGCTTTGATTTATAGTAAAAATTCAGGAGACATATTAGAAAGTTAGTTAACCACTTCTCAATTTAAAGTAACTGTTTTACTGGCAAGATATCGAGTTATTTACGAAAAAGCCAATATAATAAGAGATTTCTCATATCTTATTCTCTGTAATTAAAGAGTTATTTTATCTCAGGAGTCTTCAAAGTATTACAGATGTGTGGCTACATTAAAACCTAGTACACAGTAAAACTAAAGAGCAAGGAAATTAAGTTTTTTAGTCCATACTCTAAGGTAAGAGTAACCGAACCAAGGGATTCCATGAGTGTATCTGGTAGGATACGGCTAATCCAAAAGACTTAGTCTCCCGAATCTGAGTCCCAGATGTGTTCTCACATAGTTACTATGGTCTCCCGTTAACAAAGAGCGATAAAAATCCTAGTGCAGAAGATTAACTTTTACCCACGTTACCATAAATCGTTTGGTTTTAATTGTATTTCCTATTCATTTGGTAGTAGTTCTATTTTAACCAGAGTTCTGTTTTTATAACAAAGCGCGGATGCTATTGCTTAGCGATTTTTCACTTCGTCCATAAATTCTGTTTCGGGTATGCATGTAGCCCAGTATAACTACGTTTTGTTAAGCCGACCATCTGTCTATCTAGCGAGTTTTCGTAACGCAATATAGTCAAGTAGAAATGCATATTATATCACCTCAGTTAACAATTACTGACGCAGTTTCATTGATCATAGAAAGTGGATTATGCTTAGACATGATTTTGACTCAGTTAAGTGAATACACGATTACTTCTACAACATGAGTGGGATACTAAAGGCTCCATGCACTGCTTGCGTACCTTAACTATGAGCCAAAAATTATCGTTAGTTTCATCATTGAGAGCTCTATCTTTTTTTTATAGAGGCAAAATAGGGCTGTTTGGTGAATTAATAATCGTTTTCATAATCTAACTAATCACACATTTTAAATATTGGTCAAGAATCTATGACTAAAAAGCCATGAACGTTTGGGTAATAAAATATCAACAGTCGACTCTTAGTTCTCCATTTTAGTTGTAGCACTTTGCTAAGCATGAGAAATTAAAACCTCAGAGCACACACTTGACACAGTACGAATATATTTTCTCGTTATTTTCAGAGACAAAATCTATAAAACTACTCCTTATTTATGAACTTCCTGGCTTTTAGTACTGTAAAGTGGAAAACCACGTTTTTAGCAGGTTAAGCACTAACAACCAATATTTATTTCTAAGTTTTGTTGAGCATTAAGCTTGTTATTTGTAAAGCTAAAAACGTACGTTTTTGGTACTCATGAAAAGCATATAAGCTTTAAAACCTAGGAACTGTTTTATAAGCACGTCTACGATTCTTAGGAAGTTTAAATTGCATGAAATTTATGATATATCAAACCATAAAATATCACTAATAATTAAAAAATGTATTGAAAGAACTCACCTTGTTGTTTTGTTGGGTATTAACCAGTTCGTGCTTACAAGAGTTTAAATCTAGCATTTTATAGCTAGACATTTCTTTCTTTAGATTTCTAAATATTGAATACCTTTATCATGTAACCATATTTATCAAACAATAATTTTGGGTGTAAAGCCATATAAAATGAGAGTTTTTTCGTCGAAATATAATAAAACACTAAGCATCCACCCAATTTTTTTTATTTTCAACGAGAACACAATATACGTTTTTCCAACTATTTGATATTTTAGAACAGACCCAATGTAACAATCGGGTTACAAAACTTAAGCAAATAAAAAGGAATGTCCAGTTAGTTAAAGGCTGAGTAGCAATGGTTTCACTTATCTCGCTTTGTAGTAAAAACACATATGTTTGGAGAGTAGTAAATTCGTATGTTCTATTTTTGACGTATTTCATAGCAAAACACAAATTCTGTACGCTTTTTGAAAGTTTCTCGTTTGGTTAATCCTCACCCTAAAATATACTGTGTTACATTCATAAAATAATATTCCAAGCTAACTAGGAAACAAGACGCATTGATCTGTTTCGATATTCCTAATAGGTAAAGTCCTAGATAACTTCTGCAAGTACATTTTTTTAAAGATTGGTTTTGAGTTTTATGCAGATAGAATCAATCTTTTTAGTTCATGATATATTAGAGTATTAGTTTTATTGAGATAATCAAGTCAGCCAGCCGACTATTGGGAAAATGGAGCCTCACATAGAAATATACAGGTCCAAGTTGTTACATCACGTTGGCGTAATGTCATGAAATAACGAAAAAGGATGTCGAAGCAATAAAGGCAATATCAATCTTAGTCAAAAGGAAGGATTATGCATAAGGGATGTGAATTACGAAAGAGAAGATGAGAAAATTTGAACTATTTTTTTTAGTTTAATATCTATCAATAAACAAAGACAAGCTGAATCTGCTTGACTACGACCTATTCCTTCCAATGTCATAAAATATCGTTGACCTTTGTTAAATTGCTTACTGAAACCCCAAACAGGCGGTTTGAATCAGTCAAATGTCTTCAACTAAATAGTCATTGACATGATAAACTGATGAACTATCATTGTTTGGTTTTTGTTACGTTTCTTTAAACCTAATTCCGAACCATCCAAAATCTTTAGCTGAGGAGAGGTGATTCACAATACTTAATATATGCTCAAGCCACTTCAGTCATCAAGGATTTTTAAGTTTATCAATTCGTCTGGCCAATTTTTTAGTGCACTAGGGAGTTTCGAATCCCCTATGAACATTCTGCATACAATTAGCGATCTACCATAGAAAGTTGGAACCAACCTTAGAAATTTTATATCATTTGACCTGTTTGTTAAGGGTTTGAATCTTTAGAGGGCACGTTATAATTAGAGAAAAATAACACTTCACCTGAGATTACAGTTAAGCCTTGGTCTTATATCTAAACTACTGAGGACTAAATTTTGCACTCCATGTCAGTCGCCTTTTACCTCCCGAAACCCAATCAGGTTCCGTTTGGAATGCCAGACTTTGAATATGTTACATATTAGCTTCATGAGTACATTAATCCTGAATTTACAAAACAATAGAAAGATTAATGGAATTGTATACATATAACCGTTACAGACAAATATAGGAGGCAATTTTGAACCATAAATTAAACATTTGTCGGAACATTAAGATCTTGTGGCTAGGTTTTAAGTTTCCTACTTCAAAACCGCTTCCCTCGGTATAGATCCTATTAAAGTTTAAACCCTATTAGTCAATGCTTTCTTGATGAAAATTAATAACTTTCCGTGTGTGATTTAGACGTGATTTTTATTCTAGACACAGTATTTTCTACACATGCGTGCCTTAGGTAATAAAAAATTACGTTATATTTATCGTCAGACAAACTAGTGCGAAATATTATCATTAAGAACATATACACACGTGCCGACTGTAAAACCTTGTTTGAAAACGGAGTAATAGTTTAATCTGTATGTAATGCTAAAAAGATACGAACAATAACTAACCAGCTCTTACAATGAAACATAAACGCCTTGAGTCCAGTAAACTACGAATTCTTCAAAAAATATATGTTCTTCTTTGTATGTCATGCAAAAGTGTCCTGTTTATCCGTTAAAGTCTTTCGAGTATCAAGCCACTGACTCAAGGAGATTCAATGAATACTAATTCACTTACGTTGAAATTAAATCTAATCAAAAACTTTCAACATACTTCCATATGTGTCCACCAAACAGCGTGCTAAGCCATTCTGTTTATTGGAAGAGTTCAGTAACTTCCAAATACCATCTTTAATCGAAGTCAAAATCAACTCCTAAACAAGTAAAATGTCACTCTTTGTTTAACCTGGTAGACATATTTTGACTATTTGCATCATCTATCCAAAACCAAAGGATAATTTTCTACCACATGTGAATTAGTTGATTGATGAGTTACTTTGAATGCTGTTTTTATTCATTGGTCATACTAGTGTCAAAAAGTAGAAATCCATCCAAAAACTGACCGATCAAGTTCCAGCGTTTTTTAAATTCTTTGTGATTACCTATCGTTCACTATTATGGAATCTAACGTTTTGCTAACATAGCGATCACAATTTGATTTTGCTACGTTATACATATATCAGGTTTTTGTTCTGCTTATAGGACACTGAAGATGAGCTTAGGCAAATGTTTCACGTTTCCTCTTTCTCGTACATAGGAATAAATATATGTTGAAAGCTGTGTAAAAGCAGGTCATAATTTAAATTAAAAGACCTGCTACTCACTTATGTGTGCTTATGCCAAATAAAAATGAGGCTTCTGATATAAAATACGGCTTTTTATGCTTAAAGATGAAGTGTAACCATAACACATTTCCACAAAACTCAGTTATTGACAACGGGAAAATTTCCGGTTTATTTATTTTGACAAAATGTCATTGATTTCGACCAATCATCGTGTAAAGGTTTTTAGTATTATCTTTTGTGATATTTTCATTTGAGGATATAAAATTGCTTAGGTCACTAGAACCAGCAGAATAATTCTAACGTTTTCAGCTATCTTGCAGAAAATAACAAAAAGATAATCAAATAAAATCAAAAAAATTTAAAAGTCATAAAATAGAGTTTTCTCACCTTTATGTATCCAACTGGGTCCAAAAGTATATTTTCCGGTTTCAGATCTCGATATATTAAGTCAAGATAGTGCAAGTATTCAAGAGCTAATATGACCTGGCTTGAGTAAAAACGCGCTGCAGACTCACTGCAGTCAAAGAAATGTTAAGAACAAAATCTACCTAAATCTTCCCTTTCTTCTCAGATAAGAAAACATTTCACCTCCGGAGACGTATTCCAGTCCTAAAAACAAGTAAACCTCATTCTATTTATTAGTTTTATAGATAAAATACAAACCTTGAAACTATATTCCAGCCGAATCAAGAAAGGAAAGTCGACAGCTTGTAAAATTCTCTTCTCATTTAGCGTGTGTTGAACTTGTTTAAGTTTTATTATCTATTTCCGTGGAAAAAATTATTGAGGAAGCAACCGATACTTTTGCTTTGTCAAGGATTTTCAAGGCGAAAAAGTTGGATGTCTTTTTGTGCTGTACAAGCATAACTCGACCAAAAGATCCCGTACCCAAAGTTCTCAGTTGCTTAAATTCATCTAAAGATGCTGGTTTCTTCGACAATTACATCATATTTTGTCTCTTTACTTTGACAGGATGTTCATAGTTTTCTAAGTAGTTACGCTTTGCTGTCTCAAGATATTCAGCAACTAAGAGTCAGTTTTACATCTTGAACAAAACATACTCTCTTCGGAAATGCATTTTCTAGTGGCATGAGAATTTCCCATGTGTCAAAACGAACTACCAGCGAGAACAAAAGTGTATAACATACCACGCGGTTTATTTTTGCACGTATTTGACCTTCATACTATCAGCTCAGTTAAACTAGAACATTTTCCATACCTTCAATAAATTGCAGCTGAGTCACTTTCTCCGATAAATCTAAGTTGATCATAATATAGTTAATCAATAAACTGATTCCGATTTGGCTTTTCGCCTTTGTTTTGTGAAAAGTGTCTGTGAAATAACATCAGACCCCAGAATGAATACATTTATGTCGTAGCAGACTTACGACCGAAAGTTGAGTAACTTACTCAGCCTAATAAAAGTCATAGGTTGTCAGCACCGAGTGATCATTTAGTAGCGTAATTACAAAAAATCAGGTGGTGAAACTGTATTCTAAATGCACTATAACATAGTAAATTCTACTTATTAAGTCACATCACTGACATAACAATATATATTCGCCAAAGACAAAATAAGAGTAGAAAAGCTTGGCCATATATTTGGAAAGAGACAAATCAGAAGGTCATCTATTGGAGAGACTTTTATTGAAATTCACCTCGGTTAAGCAGTTATATTATTTTTATTCAACTCAAAAGGATGGAAACCGTCCGTTGAAGAGGACCTGTAGGCGAATGTAGACAGACATCCACATTCAATATGCATTTGGAGTACAAGCTCCTGCTATTAGTTGTAAGGGATTTAGTAGAAATTGGTCTACAAAAACAAAGGTTCAAAATAGAATGAGATTCCAAGAGGAACCCCCATAAAGTATACTGTCTCCTCATTGAAAACTTTGAGGCTATAGCTTTGACCATTACACGAGCTAGTAGTTCTGAAAATTAATGGCCGTCATTAGTTAAATATACAAGCCTCAAATTAAACACACAATTATATAGTTACACCTACCAATTATATCTTTCATTCTTACATGCAACGAATCAAAGATTTCGTACCACATTAAGACCATCACGGCGTTCAAGATACGACTAGTATTCTGATTTTACAACCTGCTACCAGTGGCACCTTCTATGTACGAAGCTTTCCCCAACAAAATGAAATCAGAAGTCAGATGCGAAGAGGTAGGAAAAATATATTTGATACGTTATCAATATTTCGCGAAGCGTTTACTCTAAGCTTGCCAGTGAACGTAGGAGCTGTGTCCCACGCTGGTTCGAAACGTGATCTGGAACGGATGCATGACCGAAAGCCTTCAGTTAAACAAGTCCACTTAAACAACGTGGTCAGCATCCAATGTCGAACACTTAGAAAGCTATTGATTTTGGGGGACTATTTACAACTACAGCGTCACTATGAGTTCTTTTCTTTCCGTAAAACAGAATAATGCCATTTTCGATCATACGAATTAAAATCAATTTACATAACTATTTTAATGTGTTTGTGTTCGGATAGACCTATCTTACTGAAGGAAAGTAAGATACTGTGAGATTTCTCGCTGTAAACGATAACAGAAATTAGATGGAATAGTCCACAATAAGACTGGTAAAAGATGACTGATTCATCCAAACATACTTCTTCGTCACAACAAACATACGATATGACATAGCAAAAAACTAAATTACCGATATATTTGTAACATTATGATCCATTCATCATACATTTCTTTTTTGTTCTGTCATAACAATTTTTGGAACATGGTGCTCAAAATATAGTCAACAATGTTCCGTTTTTTCTTTTTAACAAATCAGGTCCACCAAAAGTTAGAAAACCATCTTATTTTAAACTTGGCTATAAAACATTATTTTGTCATGCAAAGATGAGAACTTATTGTAGTGGTGATCACAGTCAATCGCGACTCGTCAACATCTACAACAACATCATTCAAAAGTTAACTGGCTGTTCACAGGAGGCTAGGAACATCGAGTTGAAGAACACATAAATGAAAATAGAAATGAACTGTCAGTTGGAAGAATCAAACAGAATGTCAGAGACTATTTAGACGATTTACAAATCAGGAATTTAAGGTATGGTTCTCACATCTCAAGAAGATATTCTGTAACTTTGTATTAAATAAAAAATTAGCTGTTCCCCACCTGTGTTTTCGTTCACTACATGTAAAGTCTAATCAGAGTCGTTTAATATGAGTCCAGTGAATCTAAGTATCACAGAGTGGATGACCAGGGAAAAGCGAAGATGATGGCGATCATTTCATTTCACTCATTTGTGAAAGGCGGAACACATTTACCTGGTCTTTTCTTGGTTTAAACAACCATACAATGATATCTAAGTTATTCCACCATGCTTGCCATTTTTTGGGCCCATGTTTTTGGCACTAAGTTGGTTTAGTTATCATATGGAGGCAATCTACTATATTCAATGCCGGGTACTTACCCTCTGACTAAAGGGCTATAACTTGGTGATGAATAAAAAGTGGTAATAATGACGAAGTTATGCAGGTGTGTAAACACTTAGCATTATTTGTTATTTAATTGAAAATATAAACATTTACCGTACTTCATACCTCAGCCCCTTTTCTTTTAGCTTGAACCTGCTCTCCATCCTTGTAATTCATTAGCTGACTGAAAAAGGTAATAAAAGTTATAACCATTCAATCCATGAATTTTGTCAATTATGGGACGTGAAGAACAATGTATCACCGTTTTCTAAACAACACGACACTCTTCAGTAGCTGTTACATTGAAAAATCTGTGACTTTTATTTCAAATTTTGTCAGTGTTGCTTAACACCTCTGGAGATATATACTCAAATACGAATAGACATATGAGCACATTCACCTTGCATACCTTCTATTCAAAATAATGGAAATTTGATCGTTACTGCCTAAAAATTGCGTACGTAATTTTGATTTATGACTTTTAACTTTAGAACGTGTTTTCATTGTAAAAACTATCCTTTAATTATTTTTCATCCAAACTTGTTAATGCGCGTCTCTAGAACATTTAAGCATTCCTAGGGTTGCGACTTCATTGTGATCAATCAGAGTTACTCAATTATTTAAAGTGCTACTAAAATCATTTTCTTACTACTGAAGTGCTTCTGAATTTCGTGTGGCAATGTTCAAATTGTGAGAGTATAACTCCACTATAACAATCAAATAGATATTCATTTTCCATGGAAACAGCTAATATTTAGTTTCTTCCATCCCATATAAGCTACAGTCGAGATGCTGTAAAGCATCAAACCTTCATACGTAAGTGACAGCATCATCGCATATGGAATGGTTTATGACACACTCTATGGGCATGAATGCTATCGATTACCTTTCCCTCTACTACTAAAAACCCAAAAATGAGAACTTTTAGAATACTTTTACAGCCTTAATAAGTACTTCCTTTCGAGACAACTAGTGGAGTATTTCATATTATTTTAAATCATCAAGCTCTAATACTTAATATAACAACAGGTTGGTGATGTTCAGAACGTAATTGGCTGCACAGTATCACGTTTAGCACTTTGCACACTAAAGTGAGTTCATTTTGTATAAATAGAGAATATGTCTTGTTGCTACCGCATCAACCCTGAACATAATTCAAACATGGCTACATGGGATTTAGAAATGATTTACTGGTTTACTGCAAGGTGGGAAGATTCTAAACCTTACTTACTTACTTACGTCTGTTACTCCTCGTGGAGGAGCATAGGCCGCACACCAGTATTCTCCATCCAACCCTGTCCTGGGCAATCCTTTCCAGTTGTCATTCATCCTTTTCATATCTGCTTCTATTTCCCGACGTAATGTGTTCTTTGACCTTCCTCTTTACCGCTTCCCTTCCGGATTCCAAGTTAGGGATTGCCTCGTGATGCAATTCGGTGATTTCCTCAATGTATGTCCAACCCACTTCCAATATCTTTTCCTAATTTCCTCTTCAGCAGGAAGCTGGTTTGTCCTCTCCTACAAAAAGCTGTTACAGATAGTATTCAGACAGTGAATGTTGAGTATCTTGCGTAGACAACTGTTTATAAATACTTGTACCTTCTTGACGATGGATGCAGTAGTTCTCCACGTCTCAGCTTCGTAGATTAAGACTATCTCGACGTTCGTATTGTAGATTCTCACTTTGAAGTTAATTGACAGTTGTTTTGAGTTCCATATGTTCTTCAACTGTATGAATGCTGTATTTGCTTTGCCAATCCTCGCCTTTACGTCTTCATCAGATTATCCCTGTCCATCGATAATGCTTTCAGGCACGTGAATGTTTCTACATCTTCCAGAGTTTTGCCATCAAATGTGACTAGGTTGGTGTTATGCATGTAGTATTTGAAGATCTTGCTTTTCCTTTGTGTATGTTGAGGCCTATCGATGCAGAAGCTGCTGCTACATTTTCAGTCTGTATTTGTCTGTATTCGTCTGTATTTGTCCGTGTGTATGAGATAGGAGGTTCTAAACCTTGGTAATTGAATTTCTGTATTTTCTACCATTATTTTTATAAGCGATGCATAACCACTTCATAAACAGCTTCAGACATTTTCAAACACCAGTTTTAGTAAACTTTGAGAGGCAATTGTTCTTTATACTTGGAGGATTGATAAACGCAATATCAAACCTTTAACGAACGGTGAATCTGGATTTTTAGCTCTAGTTTTAATGAAACACGAATATTAGTTAAATTCGAAAGTGATTATCAGATAACAGGGAAACAGAAATATTCAGACCAAAATAGCTAAGTTTTATTAGCATATTAATAATCCACCAAATACATTTCTTTATAACAAAAATGATAATAATTCATTTCATAACAAACGTTGTTTCACTAGTTCAACAATCAATTAAGTAGAATTTCAAATTTTTTCAAAAAATCACTCGTTGGCAGACCTCAGTCTGCCGTATAAAAAAAGATTATAAGCTCTATAATATTTTCTTCTGAGTAGATGCTACGTTTAACTATTATTTATCCGGTTAAAATGAGCAGTCTCTTTAAGTTTGTTATACGTTTTACGCAGATCACGTTCATTACTATGTTATTTATGGGTGAAAAAGTAGAGAATTTAACTAGATTCCAGTAACATGGAACTGAAAGAAAGCTACAAGTGCATGAATTGAGATTGTTACATATTGATGAAGCATAACTACTGAATTGAATAATACAGAACGCCTTAAACTCACTAACAGAAACGAATGGGCCAGAAGAAGTGCATCACAGAGTCTTTCATGCAGAAATGTTTTAGTAAGAGTAGGTACAAGGAACAGAGTGTGACCACTGCTGCATAAACCAGTCCATAACGTGCAATTAACTGATGTGAGTTGGTTGTCTTTGACCTTGATGAGGATTGGCGAACTGTTCGTCACTCAGTGACTCGACGGACGGATGATTTGGTTACGACCCAGTGACTGGCTTTACAGTGTAATTTGAGAATTTAAAAGATGTATGGTCTGATCAACATTAGTTTTGATTTACAATCTTTACTACACCATCACCAAAACACTTTACGTATTGCCTGAATTATACCGATAATAAACATTGTAGTGATGTAATAATACCAAACTATCGTCAAAAAAACCATCTGACTGGGGTCTTTAAATCGTAATTACACTATAACTATGACACACTTTTAGACTTTGTAGAACTTGAAGATAATTCACTCTGCCCATTAGTAATCTGCAGTTAGAAGTAAGACGTTCATTAACGGCTTTCTGATCAACACTGATTTTTTTCATCTACACCGCTAATCACAGAAATATATCTGACTGTATTATATTTCACTTTGTATAACAATAAAGTGCACTGTTTTACCTGCATACGGGGATGACTTTATGGTTTATTAACATAATAAGCTAAAATAGATGACTTTTCGGAGTATTCTGATAATACGAAAAATAACGAACACACTAAAATGTGTGACTATGATTTACTTGAAATGATTAATTTCTAGAGATTGTCTTTGTGGTATACTCGACTTTCTTACTGTTCCTTACGAACACATATTTGGAGTTAATAACAATCTGAGTGCCGCCTAAACTTTATTCAGTTCTTTAGAAACAAATAAATTTTGAAATGTATGTTAACTAGCTTACAGGCTCAAGAATAAGGAAGTCATATGTTACGCAAGGAGCATTTGCCACTAAAAAATACTATAAGACATCTAAACGAGGTTTTTCCTTATTTAACAAAATTTAAGCTATAGCCGATTTCCAAGACTATATTTAAAGTTTTAGTTTGTAACAGAATAACGAATACAGTTTAATCAACTTTCGTGGATACGAGCCTGGGTTATCTTCCGTAAAAGTCATTCTAGACCAAATTAGGAGTGTGAAATTCGAAAATGTACAAAAATTAGTTAACCACATTCCTTTGCGTTAGTAGAATACAACTCTCGAATTAGTAAAGAACTGATTAATCAACTTGGAAAATGCCTTCTATGACACTAATTAGTGTTTTTTACCGCACTTAAAAGTAGATTGTTTCCAGTGATGGTAATTATCACTGAACTAGCAATTGAGATTTTTTAATCCTATAGACTCCTTTAATTTAGATCTCCATGAGTAAAACTCGCGAACTAATAACCATCATAAATGTGAAAATGAATCCAAATAAAACATATTGCAACGGATCTGAGAGAAATAAAGCACTGAATCTTATGATTGTTATTATGTTCTTTTAAAGAAGTGGATAGCCTTCATATTGTTATTCTTTTGTTTGTTTAGAGCAGTATTCCCAATCACAGTCTTCAGAGAATAGTAATTTCATTTACTGCAAGCATTATTGTTTTCTTTTGAACATAAACTACAAAGAGAATTAAAGTTACCCTTCAAAGACAATTGTGAATATATATCAACTTGAAACTTAGTGTACGTTTAAATGACGATTTGACTTGCGTTTTGCATTCTATTTCATTTGTTGAAATAAATTTAGGTTGGAAAAAATGTGATATGCTTCACTTAACCAATAAATTTCTTGTTGTTATTGAGTCATTAATAAATAAATTAGTGAGAAATTAGATTGTGATCTAATTTTCATGGAGATATATACCGTTTTACCAGAATTTGTTAGAAAATGATTACATCAATAAACTAAATAAACGAACACCTTATAACGAAATTAGTATCTCGTGACATTCACTTTTGCAGTTTAAAACGGATGCTACATGAAGCAGTAATAGCCTTTTCAAAAAACTTTTAAGAACTCGATAAAAATCAGTCAGAAACAACAGATGAATAGGTAATGTTTATTTACTACCAAAGTAAAATAATTATTCGAGAAAATGATGTAACAATAATGCATGAATATGTCACATAACTGAAATATCGTAATAAAGAAGTACTTTTGTCACTCTTTCAGAACACCTACTCTCCATTGAACAGTAATTTTAAACGAAACACATAATTCTAAATCTGCATTGTTTTTGTCTCAAAATAATCTCATAGAATTAATAACCTTGGAGACGCACAGCTGATGGATAATATGTTCTTTTGGGTATACACCCAACTTGGTTCAAATGGATAGTTTCGGTTTTTAATTCAATTTCTTTTTCAAGTGTCATTTGTGTATCATGTAAATCTTTAAGCTTGTTCTCCACTGTTGAATATTGATGCAATAATTCATCCAAAGATTGACCTAATATACTAACTTCTTCAACTAAGCTACAAAAAGATTGTCGGAAAAGCAAAGAATCAAAAAAGATTAGTAGACGAAGTTCAAAAGCCATTCTAGCCGATGAATAATCTTTTAATTTCATTTAGTTGAGATATAATATGATATCCCTATTGACTCCATTGTACTGCAATATGGAGTTGTTTAAAATAATTATACAGAGCCCATCATATTTGTTTAATTTGTTGCTACTCCATCATTCAGTCTTCTTAAAATGGAACAAAGCGACATTTTATGAAAATAATGGTCTCGAAGTGTTTTGAATGTCTTCTCATCATCTACTAAACATCTATAACATATTCTAACGTTTCCAAGGGTGATTAAATAACCTTACAGTACCTACAAGATTCAAATCCAGACCTTCCAATGGTCGGTGACATTACCATTAAGCTATATGGGTAGTAAATAATTGATGAAAGTAAGATGTCGTCATTTAGTCAGTTATTACTTCACAATATCATGTAAGATTTTTGTTGTTGGCCGTGCTTTGTTTATTATCTAACGGAAAACCTGGTTCGAATTGTTCATCTAAGTTTCTGCAATTGTCAAACAAGGTGAGTTTCAGTATAAATTCACTTGGACTAGCGACCACATTTCAACTTGGTAAATATATTTGACCAGTAGTTATTAGTTACAAATAGAATCACATCTTCATATAAATGTTTATCGGCGTCAATATAGTCTCCTTTCAAGTCTCATACTATAAAAGTAGGATGAACCATGAATAACGGTCAAACAGCAGTTGTCATATAGTCACACTGTAAATTCCTTTTTGAATTTTAAATGGTCAACATTTATCTGAACACATTTGGAATAAAGGATCCAAAGAGTAAGCCTTTATTTCAAATGTAAAGTAGATATGTCAGTGAAGGCAGTTTGATTCCTTACAGTTTCTATACAGAAATACATACAGTGAACTTTAATACAACTGAAACAATGATTTATATGTATATGTAGGTCTTTAAATATAATGAAGTATCTAAACTTTTAAAATAGAAGATTGAAACTGTTATTCTAAACAGCGAGCTTCCCGCCTTTCAACCAAGTTAAATCAAATTTTAGGATAATGATTCTTAAAATAAAAACCAGTATTATTTTAGTGGAATAATCAATGCAATTTGTTCTCAGTCAAAAAAGTTTTAAAAAAAGTAATTTTCAATGCACGTAACAAAAAATTATTATATACTAAAAATTTCAATAGCTCCGCCTGTAGTTTCTCTGGGGGTTACTGCCGGTTCCAAGCCCGGGTAAAGGAGGAGGGTTGTGCATGGGGTTAGCGACCCCATCCCGTAGAAAATCAACTCGCTAAAAAAACGCTAACCAGAAAAAATCATTCAAATCATTTAAACTCTGCCCCGGGAGTAGAAGGAATAATTATGACGTCTCATGATGAAAGCCGAGTTCATTCGGAAGTCATGAGGCCGATGCGCCTTCTTACAACCAGAGCAACATTTCTTTTATACGTACATAAGGCTCAGGACAGAGTGGGTTGGAGAATGCTGGTCGGTGGCCTATGCTCCATTGGGAGTAACAGGCGAAAGTAAGTAAGTAAGTAAAAAAAATTTCAATGTTCTTGGGAAACATCTGTTCACAATAATACATTATTTTAATCGAAACATACCTTACAGATGCTGGGTCCTTGCATAGTTCCATATTAGGTCTAAATGTACGTAGATGCAATCTTGTTTGAGCATTCATTAAAGGATCATCTTTAGCTCGGATAGCCTCTCTCAATTCATTCAAATTATGCTCCAACATTGAAATTTTATGTAATACCTACCAAAGTTAGTATAAGATAATTTAGACGAAATAAAGTCATTGGTGAACATGCGGTCACTCATTCTATAGGGAGGTTTCTTCTTGAATAATCTGTAATTATCTAAGTTTACATTGAGTGACTTTTTTATAAAGTGATTTTTGGAGTGTGAGTAGTTACTACAATAAACTTGAACATCGTCCAATATATGTGGGTTTTGTAAATGCTCCCATGTTGATCGTTCACAAACACAAGTTCTGTTCGATAATAATTTTACTAACATGATGAAATAAACTAAAGGAAATGTTAAGAACTAATATTTAATGAAGAATTCTTAAGTTATAATTTGCAGTTCGTCAACAATCTACGCAAAACGCCCTATTCTGAAGTTTAGATTTTGTTGCAAGGACAAAACGCTTCAATCACTGAATCAGAATCAAACAGTTCATATTCCTATTATTAGTCCATTTGTGAAGTAGTCTGAAGATTACCTAACACCACCAATGATGGTTGTTAAATTCCTGATATGGCTGACCTATAAAAATGAAGGCTTCAAATTCGATTCTGTAAAGGTGTTATTTGGTTACTAATCTATGAACTTTAAGTAGATTCTCATGGTTCCAATAAGAAATTGTTGCTAGTAACTTCAAATTATATTAATGTTTAGACAATAATAACGAATGGCATTCGATGATAGTCGTGTTAGACAACCAACTAAAAAAACTTATTCAGAAATATAAGCCATTGGATTCTAAGTGGTAATAGTGGTTTTTGCTTGCCTTACAATCAAAAGGTCCTTAGTTCAGTCTTGAACAGGGTCATAGAAGTGTACTGTTAAGAAACTTCAAACTATAATGTGAGAATTGTCCACTGCGTTTTGGATTTTAACAGTCCTTTGGTTTGTGATGTTATATGATGGAAACTATCCTTAAACTTCACTGATTGTTTAGTAAAAACTAGGAACCACAAATGTCACTCTAAGCTGGTCTTGTCAAACAAAATGGATGGAGATTATTTCGAAACACAAGTCATATTATTGGATGAGCATCATCCATTTAAGTATACACGCAACAATTTTAAATTTTTTTTCAATGCACTGTTGTTTTTCTAACAATATTAGCAATAAGAGATGTGTAAATCCATATTTGAATCAATTACAAATATTATAAACAGCAGAAGAAATATACTTTGATAGTGATTAATAAGATGAAAGTTTGAGCTCACGATTCGACTTCTGCTTGATAAAATTTTGTACTTGCGTTGTGAGTCTATACCATTCTATCAGCTGGTTAATTTTTTCATTACACTAAGCTATCAAAGAAGTGGGTACACTGATTCTTACCTTTAAACAATTTAATCTGATCGACAAAAACTTATTTTTTTAATAATCAAGTAACTCTTTTGTGCCGAAGAAGACGTTGATTGAAAATAAATACAATGCAGCCTTTCCTCCAAAGTATCAACTACAGTACTCATTTAACTTAAATGAGACATAGTAATCTAGGAAAATTATTGCAAAATATTAAACATATAGATAATGTTATATAGTTGAAGTCATGAGTTAATTGAATCTAGACCACCATGGAAAACCTGGGAGCACTGGTGGTCTAGCTTCAATTGACTCATGATTTAAACTATATAGAATTTCTAAAACCTCCACAAAACCCCCTTCTGATATAAATAATCAATGAAAAGTGATCATCATTAGAATTTTAGGAAAGAGACTTACATTTTTCAAATTTTCCTCCAAAGTTGTTTTAGCTGCCATTAGTTGATTCAAATTATCTTGGAAAGCAGCATTAACACGATCAAACTGCTGCCTCATGTCACGCGACGTATCAACAATTAAATTAGATATCAACGAACGCAAATCAATGCTAGCAAGACGTTCTGCTTCTGCACGTGTAATCACTTCATTCGCATCCTTTGCCCAACTTTCAACAGTTGACATATTTTCCTGAAGTGACAAAACACGTAAATCTAGAGAAATCATTTGGTAATCTCCTAATATTTATACGCTGATCAGTTAGATCATCCAAAGTTCGTTTATGTATATGTCTCTGCAAAGTTATTTTTAACTTACTTGATATAATGCAACTCCAGCATAAAACTGTTTATTTGTAGAACAATTTTTTAAATTTCCAGCTTTAGAATCAATTTCTTCAGCTTCTTTCTTATCGCTCCAATTAATTTCTAATGCTTCTTTGACTGCACGATTCTGACTAGAAGCAAGTGCATGGAAATGGAATTACAAAAACCCTCATTAACTTGAAGTTAAAGTTTTGTACAAAACTATTCAAATTATTTATAACTATGTAATGGTCAGTCAATTTTTTTTCTAAAAATGTAAATCAGTTACACTTCCACACGAATTCGAGACAAACTTAAGTCACCATGTATTAATTTGGATCGAGCAAATTATATCATCACAACTTTCAGGTCTTTTGGGTAATTGAATTTTAAGATGTATCTGTTTTGCACGTCTTTGTGTTACATAACTAGCTGTTTGACAACTAAAACGTTTTTTAATGTGTTTACTTCATGGTTATTGCTCGTAGTCTATTCTTCGAGAATAACTCACAACTATTGACATCTATCCTAAAATATAGATCAAAGGAAGCTCTTAAATCAGCACATTTAAATTAACAAGTCTTCAGCATAAATACTAGATGGAAATTTCAAAAACTATTTCACATTGAAAATAAAAAAATGCTTGAATCGAATTCTTGAAAAATAAATCAAATACCTCCACTACGCAAAATTTAGTTTCCGTTTGGTTTAAAACCTAAGTAGGTTAACATCTTATGGATAATCACTCCCAGTCATGCAAATTCCGTAGTAATGTTTTGCTGATATACATTTGTGTCGCTTCACGTTTTACGTCTATAAGCTGGGTTACTTAACAAAGTGATTTTAGAAGAAAGATTTCAACTTTTCACGACACAACGCTACTCACCTCGTGAGATGATAGGTAAACAGCCAGATTATCTTCAAAATTCATTACCACCAGACGGAAAGCGACGCAACTGTATTAAAATTTATACGGATGGCGCACTTTGTAAACACTTTACAATACCTGACTTAGCGTAAGTATTATACAATGAAAAACGTCTCAAGTCCAAAACTAGTTGAAAGAATTAAGAATGGATATATATATATATATATATATATATATATATGTAATCATCATCGTTAGAAATTCATCCTATATTTTTTTAAACTTTTTGAAAATGAAATAAGTTGGAACATCTGACGTTTTGTTTCGAAAATTTCCTGAATCTAACCGTAAATAGAACGATAAAAACATGTAAATAACTTGTCAAAATATATAGCCTAACAGACATAAACAATTGTTACTAATATTACTAATTAAAACACACCATTACTTTAAGGATTTCAGTGAATCTCAGCGTCTATATTTCCATACAACTTTAGTAAGCCATTTTGGCTCTAAATGGTCAGTTTGGAAGTTTTATATTCAGCTAAGGTTCAGTACATTGTTTGCTAGCGTTATTGCTTGTTTCTATCCTGCGCTAATTGTTACCAGGAGGTTCAAGGCGGGACCCTACGACTTCGTCGTATCAAGACGTTTGTAGCAACATGCGAATCAGCGTAGATGAAATGACAAGCAAATAACAGTTAAGTTGACTGTCAGATACCAAAAACAGAATGTGGACATAAAAAGTGCTATTACATGCGCTTTTCAGATCAATACCCCAACAAATTGTGAGATCTCATTTTGATATGAATAAATTCATCACTTGTCAGTTAGCTGGTAAGTGGTCTGAAGTTGATTCACTAAATTTTATAAATTCGTGTTTCAGCAGATAGCAACAAACACGACTGGAAATTATTGCTTTAGTTCAATTTTCGTCATAATATATTTAAAATAATTCAAATAAAAGGAAACGATGTAACTTTCACTCATCCCAAAATAAAATCTCTTGCAATTAAAACTAAAATGCGTAATTTTACGACAATAAGCCTACCAAATCTGTTTATGAGCTTGTTCGACAGCATTTTTAATCAATTTCTGAACGTTTTGTATGAGTTCAACTTCCTTTAAAGTATCCCATAGTTTCGTTATGCCAAACATTTTATAGGAGAAACAGAAATATTCAGCCACAGCATCGTTGTTTAACAAAAAAATACAAAATAGTTTAATGAAGCTATGCAGAACAGTAAAATTTACCTATAATTGTTAGATAATATAACTTGAATGAAAAGTTTAAAACTACAAAAGAAGAAATGATTAGGGAAAGAGTAATTCAACGGACGAGATAAAACGGCAAGGGCTTGAGTTATTTGTAAACTATCCCCAATTACCCAATATATTGTGAAGACATATTGCGCTGATTACCTAAAATAATTGAATGCTAACAGTAAAATATAAATCACCTGCTTATAAAATCCTCTAGTAATCTTAAAGACAGTTTATTGAGTGTAATAAAAAACTGTTCGAAACTTACTTTCTTATGTTAGCAAGTGTTTCTGGATTTAACTCACCATCACCTTGCTGACAGACTTAAACCGAATTTTCTTTTCTATTGTCTAAGTGAATATTTATAACCGGTTGGATTCTCTATGACCTCGTTTCTCCTTTTTGTTCAGTAGTGACTTACCAAGTAATATTCTCAGTCATTCTTAGTAATATTCACAGAACCTTGAAATCCCATGAGGTATCCAAAGACTCTTGAGTGTTACTGTCTAATAAGTTACTTTAAAGAAAGTGTAACTCTAAACAATAACGCCTTACCAAGTATGAGTAACTGAGTAAAGCTGGAAATGTTTGGTAGTGGTGTACTCTTATTAAATCTCGTATATGATTCGAAAAACTATACTCTACAACTCCAAATAATATATATGAAGACATCTCCTACTACAATTTTATGATTAAAAACCTTCTGAATATTTTCCAAAACTTTAGTTATCTTAAATCTTGCATTGTGTAATAAACAATTAAGTAATCTTTAAAAGTTCTGTTTTCATTTCCTACAACCTTAAGTGTCATATGTTTACTTAGGGTTGAGCTCGTTAAGACCAATTAATAAAGTATCCGTACTTAAGAATGGACTATTATAGTAAAATAGGATGGCAACTATTCAAAAGGCATTGAACAGCTGGAAGTCTTTCACAAATAAACAAATCACTTCAAAGTTTCAGTCAAAAATATTGTAAAGGACGAGATTCGGATTTTGTGTATGTGACCGTTCACAAAAATAACGGGTCGAGACTGTTTTGCGAGTATTTACTAGGTACACAACTCACTACAAGAGACGTTTATGGTATCAATATCGGTTATCTTAAAAAGAGACTCTACTTCCTTTAGAATCAATATTACTGAATGATTATGTTAGACACTTTTTCTAACCATATTCCGCCAAACAAATCATGCATTATTTCATGTTTTCTGAATAAACAACGAAGCGACAAGCACAGCCACGTATATGAAATCATGTAATTAGCTAACTTTAAAAAATACTGTTCAATATCTGTACATGAAAAATTTTGAATCATTGTCTATGCAATACATCTTCGAGTTGGATCCAACACTTGAAAAGAAACATTCGAAAAATATTTAAGTTTTTCGGGAGGTATTTTGAACAAAAGGATAAACATTTTTCAACTTTACAAAAGTTTTTAAGTAACTTACAACATACAACTCTGATTCTACAGGGTCAGCAACTTTATCTATAGCCCTTCTACATTCTCGTGTATTCAGGTTCTCAGTTGCTATTTGCAACGGAAGATCAGTTTCCAAAAGAAAATTCTGCAATCTATCCTTTTCTTTGATCAAAAAAGAGGTTTCCTGAATGACATCAATAATTTCTCTTTCTAGTGCCTGCTTCCAGAAAAGGGTATCATGAAGCCTTTCTTTCAGTCGCTTTGTCGAATCAGCCTGTAGCTTCCTCGTTTTGGCATCAGTGCCCCTGATAATCTAAACATAAATTGATGAATGATAAAGAGTAACTTACCGATTTAGTAGAATCATTCACTTGTTCTGTTTGTTCGCAGTCATTGGTTGCTTGAAAATACCTTTCGTTTTGATATGACATCCACTCCTGTGGTGTGCATTTCAACGAACTGAATCCAATGGTTGACGTGTTACTGTATACGTTTTCTGTTTGTTCGGGTACATTATTATAAACTGCTACATCCGCCATCTTTACACTTTAAAAAGAGGTCTCTTTCTCATACTATGACAACAGTCGGCCTATGCGTAGTAGTAAAGTTAAACAAAAATACAATATTCCTAAATAAGATTTTAAGCCTGTAAGACTGTCTGGATATTTAAAATGAACGTGTTTCTGACGAGCCTTGTTGCGGCAAACTAATTCAACAAGCCAATATTTCTTCAAGTCTTTGATATCGATGTTAACCTGATTACTTTATTGGACTAATGAAGTCAGTATCACCAAAGACTTACAGAGCTGTCTACTCCTTAGTTTTATAGAAAAAGCTAGTCACATCATAGCAAATCTACAATTCTGAGACTCTTTATCAATTTGGTAGAAATGATTAGTGCACTTAATACTTATTAAAGTATCACTACTACAGGAAAATTTCCCAGCTTATTGCTTTCTATCTCATCTTCCATATTCTTAAGATAAATGTTTGCGTCTCCAGCTTTTATTCTGTATCCCATGAATACCCGCATTAAAAAAGGACGACCGAATGCTCCTGGACTTATCAAGCTATCAGAAGTGTGATTACTAACCAGATGTCCCTTGAATTTGAGCTTCTGGACGACTACTTTTATAAATCACCACCACTTCACTAGGAAATGAGTGAACTGTAACGTTAAATAGATATCCAAAACAAATATTTCTACAATTTTTCGTATTTGCCTTTTATTGTAAAGGACTCTGGTGTAGAAGTTTCGGCACAAGGAGGACAGGATTTTTGAAGTCAAAACAAATGTCTGAGAAAGCAGTAAAGTATATCAATGTGATAATTAGAATTAATCGAATCAATGCGCTGACTGAGAACTACCAGAATATTTCATTTAGAACAAGCCGCAGCATATCAACACAACGGAAAGTATTTTATTTCGAACTCGAATAAGCCGTGGGGTAAAGTACAAAGATGCCATAGAAAGCATAAGTACTAGTTATCTCAACATTCCAGCATCCAACTTCAGTTATAAGTGCACTTTGAGTGGCAATGAGTTTTCGGTAACTGTTCATTGATGATTGGAGGCATAACTACGACGTTTATTTTGTTGTTACTTGATACAAACGTCCTGAGAACAAATAGACAGTTAAGTCTTTACTTTGCCATGCTGCTCTGCGTGATAAGATCGTAATTTATGTTTGCACAAGTATCCATAATTTAGCAAACACTAATCTTTACACGCGCATTGAATATGGGGCGACCACTACCATCAATTACAGTCCCTTGAAAAGTGTGTTGATTGGGCGATTTCCCGATGTTTACGTTTTATCCTTAGCTCTGTTGGGTCATTCAAAACCTTTTTATCAGCATAAGATGTCGTCAGGTTTCTTTTTATTGGTACTATGGTGTTAGTCAGTAACGTGAACGACATCAGTATTGTAGTTTCAAAAATGATCGGCTTTTGCGCAAATTCACTACTATAATCTTTCTTTCAGGTAACCTTTATGGAACTGCATTTCTCAGCCAAACGCTCATGCAATGTATATAACACGTTTATAATTAAACGATATTTCATTGATCGTACCGTCATATTAAAAATAGCATTTACTTGAAATTGTCGCAATAGTTCTTGCAAAAGATTTTCACTAAAGGATCATCAAGACGTAAGGAAATTATCATATCAGCAATACATTTGCTTTTGAGGATGCATTTCATTATGCTGTCGCTGACGGACTTCATTAACTTATTGAATACCGTCATTTACAAACGCTCCAACAACAATCAGCAAGACACACACTGCTTTGTATCACCCAGAAGTTGACGGCCTCGTGGAAAGAACAAACAGAACTATTAAAGCCATCTTACAGTCGTTTCTCGGCAGATCGTCACCTGAGTTATGGGATGATATCCCCCTTTTAGCTTATCAGTACATGGATTCACAGGATTATCACCTGCTGTTTTACTGTTTGACAAGAATTATGCTTACCGGTGGACGTATAGTCGCCCTTGCTGCCCTGCGAAGAACAGGAGCATGCACCGTACATACGTATTCTCCATAACAGCTTAGCTGATGCATACCGCGGACACCAAAGATCCATGTACGTTCGTCAGATGCAAGGACCGATGTGCACAGTTAGGGATCGCGTTTGGTGACGCCGCCCCATGAAAATGTTAGGGAGTTGTAGTAAATTCCAACAGCCCTGGCAAAGCCCTTTTGAAATTGTCCTCACCCGATCTCACACCACGTTTGTATTACGTAACTTAAGACAACCTCAGGATGACGTGGTAACTGGGCACTACAACTAAATAAAACCAGATCGGATGACAGTTTCCTCTGATGTTCGGTTCACCGACCCACCGCCTGCCACTAGGTTTTGTGAGGTACCATCAGAAGGAGAGGCAGCCCACCCGTGCTCCAAACCAGGCACTGAGGGGAGTGTCTCATTATTAGAGTGAGTGGTGTAATGGAGTTGAAATTGTTATGGAGAAACAGAATTACCAAAAACAGATCAAAATTTGAGGACGTTGACTTTTTTCGCACATCCAGACAACATGACACAGTATGGTAGTCTCATTGTACGGAAACCAAGTCTTCAGAACACTATTTCTTGTTTATGAGCACACCCAACATAATTTTTCTTAATGGAGCAGTATATCTGTTGTTTTTAGATATAGACAATAAAGATATTACTATATATATATTATTAGCAAACAAACATTCAAGAGAAAACGTTAAACAGAATAAACAAATAAGACCATTTAAACTCTTCCTTAGGAGATGGACGATCTTCATTCAGGAAAATTATGACGCCTCATGGTGGAAACCGATATTCTTCGGAAGTCACAAGGTTAAAGCCCCTTCTAGCAACCACAGCAACAATTAATGTAGGTACATGGAGTGTTCGGACCATGTGGAACACCAGGATGACAAATCAAAATAGCTACAGAAATGCAAAGATACAAATTGGCAGTACTCGGGATCACTGAAACACATTGAACTCAAGCTGGACAGAAAAAATTAACTTCGGGAGAGATGTTGCCGTACTCTGGTGACGAAGAAGAAAAAGCTCCGCACACTCAGGGAATTGCTCTGATGCTATCCAAGGAATCTCGAAAAGCACTTATAGGATGGGAATCTCACGGATCTACAATCGTCAAAGTATCCTTCAAAACAAAGAAGGAGGGAGTCACAATGAATGTTATCCAATGTTATGCACCCACTAATGACATCAACGACAACGATAAAGATCAGTCCTATGAGAGGCTGCAATCGATCATAGAGAGCACCTGACCATCCTGATGAGAGAGATAAACGCCAGAGCTGGAATGATTAACACCGAATATAAAAATATCATGGGACAACATGAACTGGGAGAACAGAAACGAGGATGGTGATAGGTTTGCAAATTTATGTGCATTCAACGAAACGTTTATAGGCGGCACAATATCACACTACAGAGAACCAGATCAATCATATTTGCTTCACCAAAAAATTCAGGAGGTCAATGGAGGACGTGTGGACCAAGGGAGGAGTTGATATAGCTTCACATCACATGGTGGCTGCCAAGTAAAAACTGAAACTAAAGAAGCAATGGACGACTGGAGAAACAATATTACAAAAGTTCAACATAACCTTCCTTCGAGATACTAACAAACTCAACCAATCTAAGATAGCTATCAACAACAGGTTCCAACTCTAACGAGATCTATTGACAGAAGAAGAAACTACTATGGAGGGCAGTTTAAAAGGGATCACAGAAACACTAACTTCAACATGTTTGGAGGGGCTGGACCGAAAGAAGCATCATCATAAGGAATGGATCTCTTTCGAAACCCTGGACAAGACTCAAGAAAGGAAGAACAAGAAGACAGCAATTAACAACAGTTGAACAAGAACAAAGTAATTCAAAGCACAAACCGAATAGGCAGAATCAAACAAGCGAGTGAAGAGGAGCATTGGAGCTGACAAGCAGAAATACGAAGAAGACCTAACAACAACAGTGGGAAAAGCTTCAAGAGAGAAAGTATGAGACAACTATGTGACACAACGAAGAAACTAGCAGGGAAATACAGTAAACCAGAGAAAACGGTCATGGATAAAGAAGACAAGCCAATCAATGATATTCAAGAACAGAGAAACAGATGAGTGGAACACCTTGAGCAAGATGATAGCAATTGATGGTTAGAGACCTTGAATGACATGGCTCACAATCGTTTGCAATGGTGAAGGTGCATCCACTCATGTTTTGCCAAATTCTAATCTTCTTAATTCTTCATGTCTCTTTTTTCCTTTCCAAATTTATTTCACTGGATTATACTCCTTGAATAACATCTTCAAACCCTAATCTTTGCGATTACTGTTTATACTCTTACTACTTCTACCACTATGGGATTTGAATCGACAACTGCATCTCTGCGCTTATGTGGTATGGAAACTCGAACTGATGTACGTACGTAAGTTCTACGTTGTGGCTGGTTGACTGAGTTGATTTGCTAACTTAGCTTCCAAACCAGTGATACAAAGATGGTGATGATAAATTATTAACCGAGAGCACTAAGTCCAAGCAGCATAAACATAACATGGCTGTGGCAGTTTTATGAGAAGCTGCAGTCGATCGTAAAGAAGTGCCCAGGAGATCTAAAAGTCGTAGTCAGAACAGACATTGGGTATGAAGATATCATGCGACGGCATAGACTGGGAGAAAGGAACGGGAATAGGCGGCAAAATATTCCCCAACAAAGGCATACACAAAGCAAGATGAGTCCCACTGTATTACACTGCAGAGAACCAATTGTGATCATATTTACGTCGTCGACGACGACATCAGAACACCACCTGGTTGCTGGCAAGGTAAGACTTAAGCTAAAGAAGCACTGAGCAACTGGAGAAACAGCATTCCAAAAGTTTGATACAAATTCTTTTGAGATACTGATAAACTCAGGATTTAAAGGTAGCAGCACCTACAGACCTTCCCATAGATAACAATCCACCAACGATCGAAGAAATCAGAATGGTCATCGGACAAATCAACAATGAGAAAGCAGCAGC